GCCTGGAGGCTGCCTGCTCAGTTTTGTCTCGGTGGTGGGAAATGTAGTGTTAGACCAGAGGCTGGACCCACTGGTGTCAATTATCGTTCGCTGCTTAATCTCACTAAAACTCTGTGGTGTGTCTGTGGTACATTCAAATGGCCAGAAATTATTTAACAGTCCTTGCACTGAGGAGTGGGGCCTGTGCCCCTTACGGTTGAGGATGGTTGGCCTCTGTGACTGCTTTGACTGACCGGCTTCAGTGGAAGTGTTACTCTGCCCGTTTTCAAGTGTACCCTTAGAAGAACAGCAGCTGCCATGTTCTTCAACACTCTCTTTGGGAACCCTGAGCCCCGATGGAAGAAGTTTGAGCATCTTGAGGCTGGCATGCTTGAGAGACTATGTGACTGGCAGGCCCACCTGAGCCTGGCTTTTTTCCCATTTCTATCATGGCTCCAGACTTGGTAAGCCTCTCCAGGCCAGCTCACCCACCAGCTGATCAATTTTGAGCAACTTTGGTGGAGGTCTCATGAAACAGAAGCCAATGAGACAAGCTGATCCTGGCCTGAATTTCTGACCCATAAAATTGTTAGCTATAATAAAGTGGCTGTTTTAAGCTACTGAGTTTGGGGTACTTTGTTACATACCAGTAGATAACTGGAATATAAGATAGGACCATAAATTCTGTAAACTCATCCTAGAAAAAGTGCTATGTACTTCAGCGCTAAATATCAGGATGGTCACTATTGAAGGATTCCTCTTGCACAGCTAGGCAAGGATGCCAGTGCTTAATCCACATGTCAAAGCACTTTTTCTAGATGAGTTTGTGAACTTAATTGTCAGAACTTATATGATGACAGCTCTGATGGCCATGCCAGAAAAAGAGTCCCAAAACTGCCTGAAGGGTGGTCGAGGCACTGCTGTTGGTGCACAGCTTCCCAAGGGGAGGACTTGGGAGGTGACCAATGAGGTATCTGTGGGATCGTGTGTGTTGTCCAACCTTGGTTGACCTCAGCTTGTCTCACTCACTCACATTCTTTAGGTCAGCTGGGGACTCTACTGCAGGTTGTGTCCTGCTAGGCCAGGTTAGGAGCGGCAGCTGTACTTGTGTCCCCTCCTCCTGTGACCAGCAAGATGGGCATTGGTAGCCTTTGACAGCTATGACAAAAGTGCCAGAGATCAACTGGAAATACACACAGACCCTTGAGACGCAGGCTCGGGGCTCATACCCTGCCACTTCTCCAAGTTCTATTGGCCAAAGTCATTGCCTGAACTGAGAGTCAAGGGACTGGAGTA